TAGCCTCACAAGATGTCCTAGAGAATAAGACCTACGCTTACGGTGATGTATCAGTGGTATTGAAGTCCAGAGACCCCAGGTTAAATCAGAAACTATCAATACCAGAATTTGTACTGGCTTTCGGTATATACAGAGATGTAATATGCTCGGTATACCCGGATAGGAGGGAGGAATTGGACCTGTATCTCCACAAGCTGGTGGATTTGGGGCATAAGTACGGTGGTACGTCTTTTTACGACTACCACCGTGCCTTTTCCGCGAAGGCGTCGGCAGCCCTTTCACAGTTCAATTACCAAACGGATTGGGGCGTCCTGGATACTGAGCTTTTTTGCCGACACTTCGCGGGCCTAAAAACCCCAGCTTGTGCCATTTGCTCGTCCAATTCTCACACGGCTAATCTGTGCCCTAATTCCCCAGAGGTAAACGCTGTTTTTCCACCTCCTAATGTAGTGCCCACTGGGAGACCTGGCAAGGTGCTTAAGGATAAACTAGGCCGTGACATAGTGTTTTTGGGTAAATCGCAGGTCTGTAACAATTTCAACTCAGGTTCCTGCGGTTACAGTGCCTGCAGACTTCTCCATGTTTGCTCACTATGTTTCAGAGCTCACTCCAAGGCAATGTGCCCAAATAAACTATACCCTAAGCAGTACTTATCGTCTCTTCATGTCTCCCTACTGCAACAACTTTTGCGGGATCACCCTTCCCAACATCTCGTTGATTTTTTGGTGACAGGGTTTAAGATGGGGTTTCACACGGGTATTATTCACATGCCCACGGGGACCCTAGAATGTAATAATTTGCAGACAGCCTTGGCAGCACCCAACACTATCGACTTACTCCTACAGAAGGAAATTGACCAAGGTTTCTTATTAGGCCCTTTCAACCCCCGCCTTTCGCAGTTTGGAGGACAAACCCCATAGGACTGGTCACCAATAAATCCTCCAATAAACAAAGATTAATTCTCGATCTGTCCGCCCCCCATGCATCTCATACCCCAAGTCTAAATTCACTAATCCCGTCCGAGGAGTTTTCCCTCCAGTATGCCACCATCGATCATGCAGTCACAGCCATACTCGCAGCAGGGGTAGGGGCATGGCTAAGTAAAACTGATATTGCCAACGCTTTTAAGCAGCTCCCTATCCACCCATCCCTATGGCATTTGCATGGTGTTAAGTGGCGAAGTTCATATTACTTCTTCACGCGTCTCACGTTTGGCTCAAAAAGCAGCCCTAGGATTTTCGATATCTTCGCGGAGACGTTGTGCTGGATGCTGCTTAACATCTGCAGATGTCCCACAGTTATCCATTACCTGGACGATTTCCTGACCATAGAAAGTAACCTAGTACCTCCCAGTAGCCTCCAGTCTATCACAAAACTGTTTACACAACTAGGGGTGCCTATTTCACCTACCAAGACTGAGGGTCCGGATACTATCATCCACTTTTTGGGGGTGGTACTGGACTCTGTACACATGCAAGCTAGCCTACCCAGAGAAAAGATTGAGCGCATCCTGGCAGCTATCGACCTTTACTTAGGAGGAGGCTCATGCAATAGGAAGGAGTTGCAATCCTTGTTGGGTTCTCTAAATTTCGCTATGAGAATCATTCCACAAGGTAGAGCATTCATTTCAAGGTTACTTAGCCTGTTTCCAATGTTGCAATCTGACACCTCCCGCATTACTTTAGACGTACAGGCCACCGCTGACCTACATATGTGGAGGGAGTTTTTGCAAAATTGGAACGGGAAAAGCATGTTTATACCGGTTTGGTCAGAGAAATCGGAGTCAGTCTGGACGGATGCCGCAGCCACCTCAGGTTTTGCAGCAATATGGGGAAATGAATGGATGTGGGGAGAATGGCCTAGGGAAATTACAGAATTCCCCGGTTTAAGGACACATCAGCCTTGTTTGAGCTCTATCCTATCTTAGCGGCAGCAGTTAAGTGGGGAGCAAGTTGGTCCGGGAATACGGTTCGTTGCTTCTCGGACAATATGGCAACATGCCATATTGTAAACAAGGGGCGTTCCTCTTCCCTCACCATCATGCGTTTCATGAGGACTCTCACATGGCTCGCTGCAAAACACAGTTTTCTTCTCACTTGTGTTCATGTGCCTGGGGTTCTCAACATTGCAGCTGATCATTTGTCACAGTCGGTTTCAGGAGTTTCGGGAGGCCCTGCCAACAGCTGCCCTCATACCAACTCCAGTTCCAAAGTGGCAGGAAATGATCTGGGACTAAAAGTTCTGCTATGTCAAGGGCGACAACTCTCACAGCTCGGTCTCTCCGATAATACCAGGAAGGCATATGAAAGGGCTTTCCATGTTTCAATAAATTCTTGTTGGACTTTAATGTCACTGACCAGTTTTCTATGGAAACCATTATTGCTTTTATTTCTTTTTGCCACTTTCGTCTAACATTATCTTACAATACCATCAAATTATATATCACAGGCATTCAACATCACATCCTCACCACTTGGCCTAACAAACAACGCTTTCTGTCGTCCTACCAAGTTAAGGCTATACTTAAAGGCATCAAAGACTCCGCCCCTATAGCCTCACCAACTAGACTACCCATACACGATGTATTGGTTCAGTCACTGTCAAAACTACTAGACACCTCACCCTTTGAAGCTCATACTAATCATGTAATTAAAGCCGCCATCTATCTAGCATTTTACGAGTTTTTACGGCCCAGAGAATTCACTACTACTAGCTATAACTCACCCCTTTTCCTCACAAGGTCCGATCTCATAAAGGTCCAAGATCACTATCTTCTGTTACTGCACCATACCAAAACAAGCGCCCCCGGGCAAACGGTCACTATACCCTATTACCCCACAAGTAATACTTGGTGCCCGGTGAAGGTTTTCGACACACTTCTTGCCTTTGACAATATGGGCCCCACACAACCACTCCTGTCCTTGCACGGCAATAAGCTCACTACGAGCCAATTCATGATGTATATTAGGATATTGTTAGCCCGGTTAGGACTGAACCCAGCCAGCTACTCTGGTCACTCTTTTAGAATAGGAGCCGCCACCACCGCTTCTAAAAAGAATATCCCTGCTCACATTATTCAGATACTAGGACGATGGAAATCTACGGCATACACTAGATACATACCTCAGCCCATACAAGAAGTACGCCTGGCTTTCAAAACTATGAATTTGTAATCTGTTATGTCCGGTTGTAGGACGAATAAATGGTTATCTCTTTTTGCCCTCTTTTATTTCAGGCCTACTTCCTCGTCAGTTCCGGCACACCACAACTGACATTTCCTTTCATGGTTTGTCCTATTTATATAAGTTATACTACGGCTTATGCCCTGACCACAAATGGAAGGCGTGGCCTGAAGTTGTGGGAAGGGCTGGGTTACCCTTCTTAAGGGACTCCAGACCCTTCCCTCACTACCTGTTAGGTGCGACGGATTCTCCCACCCACCACACCGCTTTCATAAGCATTTTTTAAGGTAGGCCCTCTTTTATTTCAGGCCTACTTCCTCGTCAGTTCCGGCACACCACAACTGACATTTCCTTTCATGGTTTGTCCTATTTATATAAGTTATACTACGGCTTATGCCCTGACCACAAATATATATATATATATATATATATATATATATCCTCCATTATTTTTGCCTAGATTAGGTGTTTAAAAAAACAACAACAAAAACTCATAAAATCTGTCAATTTTGAATTTGCTGTTTAGTGACAAGTGAGTGCGCTGGATCTTGTGTATTGTATAAACTGGCCCCCAGCAGCACCCCATTTTGGGCCCTTTAAGGCACAAACTGCACATGCGTGGGCCTCTTCCGAGTGCATTTGCCGTTGAGAGACCGGGGAGAGAGCTCAGTCTGCAGCATACATGGCCCCTTAACACCCTATAAAGGCAACCTAATATAGCAAAAACAAATAAAGTAATGAAGAGAAAAAACATAAATGTCCATAAGTAAAGGGACCAAATTGCTCACATCCTAAAGGCTGTAGCACAGGAAAAAGACAGAGGACCTTAGGAACGGAGCCTCCTTTTAAACCCTTTGGTGTTTTTCCTGTCCTATCGGCTGTAAGGGGCGGAGCTAACCCATGATGTATATGCTGCCATGATTAGCCAGGAAATATATATATTTGAGAGTCTAGCCAACTTGGTTTTGCACCCCTCCCTGTCACAGGTGCCTCATCCCAGGGCCCTATTTAGCCTTGTACTGCAAAGGGCCCTAGATGGAATTTCCCCCCCAAGTAAGTGTGTTAATCTCATAAGAGCAGACATTAGGCTGTTAGAGTAGGACCTGCCAAAGATGAAGTTGTGTCAGGCTTATGCAATGTATGATCATATACTGTAACTAAACCCCCATTATTTTTGCCTAGATTAGGTGTTTTAAATTTTTTTTTTTTTTAAACTAATAAAATCTGTCAACATTGAAATCACTGTTTAGTGGATAAGTGAGTGCGCTGGATCTTGTGTGATATATATATACAGGGCTGGATTAAGAGCACAGTGGGCCTGGTGCTGACAATTATGATGGGCCTAATTACGGAATCTTATCGACCAAAAACATTAAAACAATCATACCTAACAAGCGTCATGTATCTGATGGAGATGGTGCTGGAGGGAAACTCATAGGATGCAGCTATAAGAAAACACATACTCTATGCTAATCTCTCTCTAATTTATGCTTTCATCTTTCAAGTAAATCCATAACCCCTAACAGCAGTGTCCAGTGAAGCAGGAAGTCAATGGGCGGGGTAAAAGGGTGTGCCACTGGCGCGAATCACGTGACAAGACCTGCCAAAAGGGGTGCCCAAAAAGGGGGCATGTTTGTCCAAAGAATTGGAAGGTCAGCCTGGCATGAATGAATGCATGTCAGGCTGCCTGCCAATCCTGCAGGCTGTCCAACTAAGGGCATACTATGCAGGCAGCACCCTAAGCGTGGCAATTCTCTCCTTACCTTCTTACTAGCAGGCAGAAGTTCCTGGTATAGTCTGAGACAGAGAAAAGGTGTCTGTAGTGAGTGTAGAAGAAAGGGGACATGCCACAGTGTTAGAGACCAACGTCTGCATTACCTAAACTAACTTTAATGTCAGCCAGTGCACACAAGTTTTGGTCCCATACATCCCTCTTAAGCTTCCAAACTTAAGGGGACACTATAGTCACCAGAACAACTACAGCTTATTGTATTTGTTCTGGTAAGTAGAATCATTCCATTCAGGCTTTTTGCAGTAAACACTGTCTTTTCAGAGAAAATAACTCCACTGGCCGCTCCTTAGATGGCTGCTACAGGTGCTTCCTGGGGCAGTACTGCCTAGTGTGCAGCACTGCCATTCAGTGTCTCCACCCTCTGCATGCAGACACTGAACTTTCCTCATAGAGATGAATTGATTCAATTTATCTTTATGAGGAGATGCTGATTGGCCAGGGCTATGTTGGACTTGTGCTGGCTCTGCCCCTGATCTGCCTAGTTGACAGTCTCAGCCAATCCTATGGGGAAGTATTGTAATTTGCTCAGACCACCACTTCTGAGCCAGCAGCTGCAGAATTGAATACAAGTAATATTTTACTATATTTAGGGAGGTAAGAAGGGGCCAGGGTGGTGGTTTTAACATAATATGGTAAGAAATACATGATTGTGTCCCTGACACTATAGTGCTCCTTTAAGCAAGAGTATGTGAAGAGTAGTTAAGGTTGCCACCTTTCATGGAAAAAAATACCAGCCTTAATCATTTGTATAATTAATTAGTTATGCGTGTAAATCACAAGGAGTAACATTCTGTAAAATCACCAACTACTCACAGTTTGATTCTGCTGTATAGATGGATTGCTCCCAGTGTCTCCCAGTATCTCAGTCTCGCAAGTCACACAGTGTCTTAGTGTCCCTATGTATCACAGTGTCAGTGTCCCCATCTCGCCCAGTCCCCCAGTCTCCCAGTGTCTGTGTCCCCATTTCTCCCAGTGTCCCAATGTCTCAGTGTGTGCCAATGTCACTAGGATACTGGGGACACTGAGAGACATGGGGACACTGAGAGACCCGGGGACACTGAGACATTTAGGGAAACTGGGAGAAATGGGGACACTGAGACACTAGGGACACAGACACTGGGAGACATTGGGACACTGAAACATTTGGGGACACTAAGACACAGACATGGGAACACAGACACTGAGAGACTAGGGGACACTGGGAGACTAGGGGACACTGGCTGGGAGACAGACACTTGGGGACACTGGGAGACATGGGGACAGTTGTGGACATAGACATGTGGACACTGGGACATATAGGGACACTGGGAGACATGGGGACACCAGGCACACTGAGACACTAAGAACACAGACACTGGGAGACATGGAGACACTGAAACATTTGGGGACACTAAGACACTAGGGACAGAGACACTGGGAGACTAGGGAACACTGGGAGATTAGGGGATACTGGGAGACTAGGGGACACTGGCTGGAAGACAGACACTTGGGGAGACATGGGGACAGTTGTGGACATAGACATGGGGACATTGGGACACATGGGGACACTAGGCACACTGAGAGACATGGGACACAGACACAGTGAGACTTGGGGACACTGAGACCCTAGGGACACTGGCTGGGGGACATAGTGTCTCCGTGTCCCAATGTCTCCAAATGTCCCTATGTCTCACAGCGTCCCCATGTGTCTCAGCATCCCCATGTGTCCCCTAGTGTCTCAGTGTCCCCATGTTTTCCAGTGTCCCCAAGTGTCTGTGTCCCCAGGTCTCACAGTGTCTGTGTCCCCATGTGTCCTAGTGTCTCAGTGTCCCCTAGTGTCTGTGTTCCCATGTGTCCCCTAGTGTCTGTGTCCCCATGTCACCAAGTTTCTCATTGTCCCCATTTTTTCCAGTGTCCCCAAGTGTCTCAGTGTTCCCAGTGTCTGTGTCCTAGTGTCTCAGTGTCCCCTAGTATATGTGTCATCAGGTGTCCCCTAGTGTCTGTGTCCCCTAGTGTCTCAGTGTATAATTAATTAGTTATGCGTGTAAATCACAAGGAGTAACATTCTGTAAAATCACCAACTACTCACAGTTTGATTCTGCTGTATAGATGGATTGCTCCCAGTGTCTCCCAGTATCTCAGTCTCGCAAGTCACACAGTGTCTCAGTGTCCCTATGTATCACAGTGTCAGTGTCCCCATCTCGCCCAGTCCCCCAGTCTCCCAGTGTCTGTGTCCCCATTTCTCCCAGTGTCCCAATGTCTCAGTGTGTGCCAATGTCACTAGGATACTGGGGACACTGAGAGACATGGGGACACTGAGAGACCCGGGGACACTGAGACATTTAGGGAAACTGGGAGAAATGGGGACACTGAGACACTAGGGACACAGAAACTGGGAGACATGGGGACACTGAAACATTTGGGGACACTAAGACACAGACATGGGAACACAGACACTGAGAGACTAGGGGACACTGGGAGACTAGGGGACACTGGCTGGGAGACAGACACTTGGGGACACTGGGAGACATGGGGACAGTTGTGGACATAGACATGTGGACACTGGGACATATAGGGACACTGGGAGACATGGGGACACCAGGCACACTGAGACACTAAGAACACAGACACTGGGAGACATGGAGACACTGAAACATTTGGGGACACTAAGACACTAGGGACACAGACACTGGGAGACTAGGGGACACTGGGAGATTAGGGGATACTGGGAGACTAGGGGACACTGGCTGGAAGACAGACACTTGGGGAGACATGGGGACAGTTGTGGACATAGACATGGGGACATTGGGACACATGGGGACACTAGGCACACTGAGAGACATGGGACACAGACACAGTGAGACTTGGGGACACTGAGACCCTAGGGACACTGGCTGGGGGACATAGTGTCTCCGTGTCCCAATGTCTCCAAATGTGCGTTCCCATGTGTCTCAGCATCCCCATGTGTCCCCTAGTGTCTCAGTGTCCCCATGTTTTCCAGTGTCCCCAAGTGTCTGTGTCCCCAGGTCTCACAGTGTCTGTGTCCCCATGTGTCCTAGTGTCTCAGTGTCCCCTAGTGTCTGTGTTCCCATGTGTCCCCTAGTGTCTGTGTCCCCATGTCACCAAGTTTCTCATTGTCCCCATTTTTTCCAGTGTCCCCAAGTGTCTCAGTGTTCCCAGTGTCTGTGTCCTAGTGTCTCAGTGTCCCCTAGTATATGTGTCATCAGGTGTCCCCTAGTGTCTGTGTCCCCTAGTGTCTCAGTGTCTTACCTGAGCTGTACACCTGCTGTCTGGATTCTCTGTGCTCTGTAGCTGCTCCCCCACGGATCAGTGAGTAGTAGAGAGAGGCAGGGATATTCTGTAACTTCCTATCCCTGCCTCTCTCCACGCACAGTGACCCTACTGGCCGGTGCTGGTATTGCAGAGTAATTTCCATGAATTCTGAGAAAATTACCTGCAGTTGTATTGCCGGTATTACTGCAATACCGGCACAGCCAGGCAGCCTCAAATACCATCTGTGCCATTAAAATACCAGTCAGGTGACCTATTCCATGGGCCTGGGCCTGGAGCTGCAGCTCCATCAGCCCCTATGTTAATACGGCCCTGTATATATATATATAAAACACACAATCCAGCATACTCGCTCATTCACTAAACAGTGATTTCAAGTCTCACAGATTGGAATAGTTTTATTTAAAAACTCCTCACATTGGCAAAAATTATTGGGGTTTAGTTACAGTATCTGATCATAGACCTATATCAGGCTGCATTCTCCACCATTCTGTTATGGGAAATAGACTTATTTACCTTTTATTTGATCTCAAAGAGCGATCACATCGCCGGAATAGGCGTCTATAGAGATACTGCCTGGGCTGCTGTAAAATGTAAAAAAAATAGATTAGTAATGCCCACAAGAGAAATATACACCATAAAACCTGTACATGGGGGCTACTGTTTTACTCGGGAGGCCTCGCTGAACACAAATATTAGTGTTTCAAAACAGTAAAATGTAGTAAAATTAAGTAAAAAGTTACATTATTTGCTTTTTTCACACACAAACAGCACTTTCACTGACGATATAATTGTTGTGATAAGATTTACTGTTTTGAAACCCTAATATTTGTGTTCAGCAAAGTCTCCCAAGTATAACAGTAACCCCCGTGTACAGGTTTTATGATGTTTTTGAAAGTTACAGAGTCAAATATAAGGCTTGCATTTCAGTTTTTTCACATTGAAATTTGCCAGATTGGTTATGTTGTCTTTGAGACCGTATGGTAGCCCAGGAATGAGAATTACCTCCATGATGGCATACCATTTGCAAAAGTAGACAACCCAAGGTATTGCAAATGGAGTATGTTCAGTTTTTTTTTAGTAGCCACTTAGTCACAAACACTGGCCAAAATTAGTATTCAAATTAGTTTTTTGCATTTTTCATACACAAACAAATATGAATGCTAACTTTGGCCAGTGTTTATGACTAAGTGGCTACTAAAAAAAGCCTGGACATACCCCATTTATAATACCTTGGGTTGCCTAGTTTTGCAAATGGTATGCTATCGTGGGGATAATTCTCATTACTGGGCTACCATACGGTCTCAGAGACAACATAACCATAGTGGCAAATTTCAATGTGTATAAACTGAAAAATGTGATGTGCTATATGGACCCTGTAACTTTCCAAAACACCATAAAACCTGTACATTGGGGGTACTGTTTTACTTGTGAGATATCGCTAAAAACAAATATGTGTATTTTATTGCAGTAAGAGCAAACAGTATTATGACATTCACAGTTAAAATTCCATGTAGAACTAAGAAAATAACAAACTTTAATAATTTCTCACATTTTAAAATTTAAATTGAAAGCCCTGTTTTTTTCTGAACAGAATTTTATATTAGAAGTGTGGGTGTACCTACTATGAAAGAGGTGAATTCCGGTTCAACAGACATATAGCGCAAATTCCCGGTTTTGTTTACATTTTGTTTTGATCACAATGTGTATAATTGACTCCGTCCTTAAGGGATAAGTATTGCAAAATTATATTTTGTACAAGCACCTAGGTTTGACTTTGTGTCATAATTTACACTTGCGTTTGCCAAGATTATACCTTGGGCACAGAGGTCCACGTATGACTTTGATTCATTAACAATGAATTACCTTTTACTTTATTAACCTATCCAGTACATTGTTTGAAATAACAGACAATGAAATATACTCTATCAAGCTGTCTTCTACATTGTTTTAGACCACTGACTGTAAAATATTTGCTCTAAATATTTTGAAACATCTTAGAAAATCTGTTCCATGTCAAGC